GTAGCATGCAAAATCTGGCACGTATGCAGTATGAGTTCGAAGTACATGAAGAATGCATGAAATACAATTGAAACGCGTTCTATGGACCACAGGTAAAACTCATGTGACAACATGTACAGCGCGCGTAGAGTGCACATACTATTAGAACGGCGTGGGTGTTGGCACGAGTGGGAGGCCACCATGCACGAAGTGGAGAGAGAGGTCTACTACTAATTTGAAGACGAGGACCGGGACATGGACGAGGTGCGGAGGCTCGAGCACTCGTTTATTGAAGAGTAGAAGAAAAGAACAACTCAAAGACAAAATTGAGAATAATAAGTACCCTTGCCCCAACACAATGCTGGTGAGAGGCATTGGTGGAGCAGGGGGCGCACTTACTGTAGCATGGAGCTCTCTTGCTTCAATCGATTGTTGGGTGCAGTGTGCTGTGCTGCGTGCATAAGAAGAAAACAAGAGAGACGACTGCGTTCAAGTAAAATTCACTAAGGGAGGCCAAACAGCCGAATTTTCGCCCAACTTTCGCCCGGTTGGGAGTTTGACCACCTCATGCTACGCGTTTTACGAGTATCATGAACGTTCAACGCGTTATAGTTGCATCCCCTCAGGGGATGCAACGAAAACGCGTAACACTCGTTAAACGCGTTTAACTAGTTTAACTAGTAAAACACTGATTAAACTCGTTTAACGGATGCAACGAAAACACGTAACACGAGTAGTAAGTAGCCCACGAGCCCACATTGAATCCGATCAAACTCCCTAGCTCTGCATGCTTGAGGGGATGCAACGAAAACGAGTAACACTCGTTAAACGCGTTTAACTAGTTTAAAGCGTTTAATCAGTGTTGCCACAGGTGGTTTGTGGTCAGTTTACTCGTTTTTTAGGCGTTTTTTTACTCCTTTAACTCGTTATTTGCTCGTTTTACTCGTTATTTACGCATTTTTTACTCGTTCCACGCGGATTTTACTCGTTCCACGCGTTTGCTACTCGTTTCACACGTTCTCTACTCGTTTCACACATTCTCCACTCGTTTCACGAGTGGCCCACACGTTCGACGAGTGGGCAGGTCGTTGTCCGCGACATCTGCGGACAACACGCATCTCCCTTTCCAATGATAGATTCAGGAAAACTCACTTGCTTTGAAAGCTCCACGGACGGCACAGACGAGTGGCCACGAGTAGACAAATAATTCTACGAAGTAAACTAGTGCTTCGAGTTAAACTAGTTCTACTCGTTTTCGTTACATCTCCGCTCCATAGCCCGTGGTCTAATTGGTCTTTCCAGGCCGCAAGCTATCCAGGCAAGCGAGAAAAATGATCCTCTTTATTTTCGGAAGTGATTTTACGCGATCACGATTTGTCAGGTAAACAGCGCGCTGTAGAGACTTGAATCGTGTGCCGTCTTGTAGCCCGTGGTCTAATTGGTCTGGATATTTGTTTTCAGGCCGCTAGCTATCAAGGCAAGCGAGAAAGATGATCCTCCGCTTTGCCTGGTGGACCGATTTTCATCGGCTAGGTGTTAGGCGAAGCACTCTGCAGAGCCCTTAATCGTGCGGCATCTTGTAGCCCGTGGTCTAACTGGTATGGATACCTATTTTCAGGCCGCTAGCTGGCAAGGCAAGCTAGAAAAGGGTCCTCTTTCAAGGCAAGCGAGAAACGGTCCGCTTGGTAGTTTCGTGCAGATGGCCGCGAATCCCCAGCCAAACTCCGCCTGCTAAAAATCCTGTAAAATTTTAACCTTATTATTTCTTATTATTCCTTTCACTCCTGTACTTGCCTTATTTAACACCTCGGATTTATTTAGCCACCAACTTTTTGGGCAGACTACAACGGATAGTGCAGCGGGGGTGAGCGACGTCCGGGAGAAGCAGCAAATGGGTTGTGATCGCTTCGGCCAGCCCGTCGCAACCGTAGGGCAAGTATGCTCTTTTCGTCCACCTGCCAATTCCACCGGCCAAGTCAGGAATAGAAGAAGAAAGTGCGGTGCAGGACGAACGCTGGGACGTGCCTTGACAGGCACAGGGAGGCCAGTAAGACGGCGCACTTCGTCCCTCAGCTCTGGATAAGCCTGATGTGATAGACACACAACACGCATCACCATACCGCCATGCACACACACACACACATTGAAAGAAAGGGCGTGAGGGGAGGAAGGTGGCCGGCGAGGCAGGTTTGCGTGGCGAGGGGAGAGGAGCACGCGCACCTGCGTACGCTGCATGAGGAGGGTGACAACGTGGTGGCTCGGCACGAAGCCTTTCTCTGCACGACGGGGGGGTCATGAGTCACCAACTCGTGGAGCAGAAAAGGGAAGCAAGCGAACACGGGGAGATGATGCGTCATACCGCGCATTTCACGGA